TCGAACATGATTACATCGTTAGGTCGGTTGAATGTCTTTAACCAATTGCTGGGCGCTTCGGCTAGTCTTTGATACGCTTTGATCGTGGCTACAGTGTCAGGGCAATACGCTGATCCTCCCATTATTGTATGGATTCTTTGCCGTGTACCATCACGCTCCTCGTCGGGTGTTCCCCATATTCTCTTTGGAGACTCTGGCTTCCTTGGCTCGGGACCACTTGATGTGTCCACCTGCTCGGGCTGAACTTGTTCTGACTCTAGGTCTTTGAGGGTTATGTTCGTCCCAAGCTCTCCGGTTAGAAATTTAGCCGCTAATATTGCTCCGAGGCTCCTGCATCTGGAAGTGTGATGCCCGAAGGTCTTGTGATGCTCGCAGTATTCTTGTTCCTCACCTGGTGGCTGACTATTTATCCAAGTAAAAGAGTCTCTTCCTCGTCCTTAGCCTCGGGCTGCATCGATTTGGTAGTTATGGGCTTCTAAGAAATTGCGCCCCTCGTGGTGTGTGTATGTTCCGCTCTGATTCGTCTTATTCTGGATCGGCAGACCTGCTTGTGCTTTCTCGCCTCGGGCCACCTGCTTCGTTGGCTCGTGCCTTTTTGCTAGCAACTCCATTTCTTCTTCGTGGGCGACAAAATCCGAGGCTCGGTGCAGCGCATCGTGAATCGTGGTTGGTTTTGACAGGTTAAGCTCTTTTCTGAATTCTAACTTGTACAAGAGTGCTTTCCTCAGGGCTGAAAGAGCAGCTACATTGGTGATTCCCTCGACCTTGGCTAGCGTTGATTTGAAGGTTGCGAGAAAATCCCTTAATGGCACGTTGGGTTGCTGAGACAGCGACCATAGGTCTGCGTCGGATGTTCCGGGATCGATGAGCACTAAGTACTACTTGAGAAAAAGTGTTGACAGCTCGTCGAAACTGTCGAGTGAGTTTTGCTCCAATCTTGAGAACCAGTCCAGCGCGGGTCCTTTAAGATGCTCAACGAATAACAAACACAAGACGGTGTCCTTTTCTCCCGGTTTGAATTTGGCTCGGGTCACATATATCATGAATGACTTAATGTGCCCCTTCGGGTCGGTCGTCCCGTTGAAATAGTCGATCTTGAGCTTTCCCGGGTCGGAGATTGTTGCTTCGGAAATTCTTCTGGTGAAAGGGGTATTGCGAGATTCTTCCAAGATTCGGTCGATGTTTGGTGCCGAGGAGGACACGCTGTGCATCTGGGATTTGACGAGTTCATATTGGCTTTGGCTCGGGCTAGAGAGGCTTTGATTTCGTCGAGCTCGCGCTCTCTTTCGGACTCTTCGGCCCATCTTACGTTCTCCTCGGTTTCCTTGTCATCGGTAATGTCAATCTTATCGGAAAAGTTCACTCCAGTTCGGGGGCGCTCAGCTTGAGGATCATCCGGCTCGTTCGTTTGGTCTGCTGCGTTCGGCTCGGCGGGACCATCCTGATTCTCGCATTGGGTGGAGTCGGTTCGGGTCACAGCTTTGGAGTTATCGGTCGGCGTCGCGAACACGAGTCTTGTCGGGTTAATACCGGGTAAATCTCTTCTGGCTCGTAATGGTCGAGTCTGGAATCGTGTGGTTCGGAGTTGTCCGTGGGACGCGACCGCTTCGATTTGCTGCACCATGGTTCTGTTTATTTTTTCTTGATCGTCGGTCTTTTTTTGGAGCTGAATCATCATGTCCTTCAGTTCGGCTAGAGCTGCCGAGATTGCCGGTTCGGCTCGGTTCTGAGAGTTCAGAGGAATTGGAGGAATCAGGTTACCTCCGACTGGTGGAATCTGGCGATCGTCTTCAGTCATCGTCTTCTTTGGTGATTGAGTTCTGCGTTCTCGGAGTTAGAGAATTCCAAAGTAATCCCCACAGACGGCGCCAAACTGTGTAAGTCGAAACTTAACACAATCGAGATTTGTCTAGGGTTTTATTTAGGGATACAATTCGCGGGAATTCTCAAAAAGCAACAGAACAAATAGCAACCAAAGATGGTGTTCTTGATATTATTGATGAATAAATTAGCTTTGATCGTACAGAGAGTTAGATCGTAAAATAAAAGTGTTTTTGCTTTGAGAGCTTTGAGTAGTCTAAATTCTAGAGCGCTATTGCTTCCCCTTCTATGAGAGCCTTGAGTCTCTTTATATAGGGATGGTAAACCGCCTCTCCAGCGATATTCTCGGAAGATTTCCATTTATCTTAAAGTCGGTTTAGAATATCGCGGATTAGGATACTTTCCTTATTCTTCGGAGTTTCTGGAAGATTTCTTGATTTGAGTTGATCCTTGGAGATTCTCTCCTATCATTTCCGAGTATATCGGAAATGATCCTTTTTTGGAAATGCTGTTATGATACTTCAGAAGTATTTATTCGCTAAGTCCTTTCCTCGGGTGGTTAGAGACTTGGCTTTGGGTAGTACAGAGGTTTGCCTTGGGTGTTAGCATGTATTTCTCCTCGGGAACAATACGCAATTCACCTCGGGTAGCACTGAGACTTTGCCTCGGGTAGCACTGAGACTTTTCCTCGGGGTAACTGCTGTATTCGGCTCGGCAGTGTACTCCGAGCTGACTGTGTACCCCGAGCTGACTGGCAGACTGACGGGCAGGGTACCCGAGCTGACCGGCAGACTGACTGGCAGGGTACCCGAGCTGACCGGCAGACTGACTGGCAGGGTACCCGAGCTGACCGGCAGACTGACTGGCAGGGTACCCGAGCTGACTGGCAGACTGACTGGCAGACTGACTGGCAGGGTATCCGAGCTGACTGGCAGACTGACTGGCAGGGTACCCGAGCTGACTGTGTACCCCGAGCTGACTGGCAGACTGACTGGCAGACTGACTGGCAGGGTGTCCGAGCTGACTGGCAGACTGACTGGCAGGGTACCCGAGCTGACTGTGTATCCCGAGCTGACTGGCAGACTGACTGGCAAGGTACCCGAGCTGACTGGCAGGGTACCCCAAGCCGATTAGCAGGATAACTCGAGGTGTTGAAGTTCGGCTCGGTCTCAAAGGATGGGTGAAATCCGACCCCAACAGTGGTTAAGATGATGTTACGTACAAATGAATATTTTTCTCAAATTTCGTTCAGCTTTATTCATCTGCATTCCCACATTATTTTCTCTTGAGAACGAAGTGACCATACAATACACAATTAGTCTACCCGTATATTATTTTCTTTTTGGATTCCGTGGGATAAAAATTGTCTTCAAATTAAACTAGCTAATAATATGTGAAAAGGGTATTTTTTTCATTCCTAACAAATTTCGTAATGTGTTTGTATACTTCAACAAATATTCAGTGTTACTTTTTATCTTAACGCCTAAAATTTCCAAAAAAAAAAAACTACCTAAATTCTGTAATTTGTGCCTTAAACAGAATTGATCTAAATATGATTAAGTGAACAGTTAACTCAGCTGATACAGTAGCAATGACGTATCATTTTTGTTAATAAAACGAGGTCGTTTTAATCGTTTGAATCCATAAACTCAAATCGACGTCGTTTTGATTCATTTTAAACAAAAATATCAACAATTATATTTATAATTAAAAAAGGTAAAAGAAAATTTACAATATTCTTTTACAGATCTACCCTATTTCATAGCACGAAAAATCTTAATTCTTTACCTTCTGCCAAATTTTGTTGGATAGATTTTCAAAAAATTCTAATATTTCGCTAGCGAGTCCGGCTAAATCTATGTTCACAAAATCTGCAATACGCTAATGCGAAGAAATCAGTATAGAAAGTTCAGATTCCTAACCCTAAAAACCTTAGTGTTTCGAAAGAAGAATTCTTTATATCAAATTTAATCAATGGAGGAAAATAGAAGTTTGGAGGAAAAATGTACTCACGGAGATGGATATAAAATATAATATAATAAATATTTTTTTTTGGTGTAAAAATTCTAACCCTTTTTACATGTTATTTTATTTTTATTATGAAAATAACTATTAATATATACTTTTAGTTTTATAACGACTTAGAGGATCAAAATAACATCATTTTATTAAGAAAAATGATATGTCAATGTCACTCTGTTACAGGTAATCGGTTGACTAACTCATATTTAGGTCAACTATGTTTTAGATATAAATAAAAATGTTTGGATAGTTTGTCAATTTTTAAGGCGTTAAGACGTAACACTGAGTCCAGTCCCGTCTGTGACCCATGATAGTAACTATTACCAAAAGGAAATCAAATCGTTGTCCAGTCCTTTTACTTTTACCAATAGTTATTTTAATTTTGTTTAACAAACTATCTACATATTTTGCATTATAAATACAGATCTATGCTTTAGTTTTAGGGCTGCCTATAGCGTTACACCTATACTATAGCGTTTCAACTCCTATCCACCTGTACTTTCGACCTCTGCCCAATTCACCCTATACTTGTTTTAAACTTCCTAATTCCACCTAAACTATTAAATTCTCCATAATTAACCAAAATCAAGAATTCTCTATAATTGCGATTAAAAATCGTTCAAATCGCGTTTACTCTAGGCCAACCCGAGTCAGATCCGACCAACTTCGAAGACTTCTTTCACCATAAGAGTTTGACTCGTGTCCATTTGTTTTGTCGGGTCAACCTCGGTTTAATATAAACACAGATTTTTTACTGCAATTTGAACGATTTTTAATCGCAATTATAGAATTGTGTATACAGAAACAATATTAGGTTTGGGCTTTATTCAGGAAGTTTCTTCTACCAGTTATGCTGCACAGGCAAGTTCAAAAGAGTCAGTCAGGTCTCTCTTTTTTATTTTCTCGTTTGCTCTTTTTTTTTTCTTGCCTAATTCTTATTAAAAACCTTTCCTAATGTTTTTTAATTAATGAACCAAACCTAGTTTGAAACCCTTTAACTCTATCTTTATTAAATTCTCCAAAGAAAGACATGATCAAAAAGACAAATCTAACCATATCCACTAATACCCGAAGAAACAACAAGATTACCATGTGTCTTTCTAATTAATGTTCCCAAACAATAACATGAGATGTCGAATATATTGATCGGAAGAAAATTTCAAACTCCAATTAGTAACGAACGCAAGAAATAAAAACCAAAACTCAAAATTACAAAAACCAAACAATAACATGAGATGTCTAAATCGTTTGTTTCTATATATATAATCTGAACCAAAACTACAATTATAAAAAAGAAAAGCTCTCTATCCATCACTTGTTCCAAGCATGGAGGTGAACGCTCGAGAAGAACATCCTTACAATGATCCGTCTGCTTGGTTTGTCCGTTACCTTGACCACCAAGGTGATTGGCTTGAAAAAACCAGAGGAAACCTTGTCGTTGCAGCAACCGTCATAGCTGCAATGAGCTTTGGGGTAATGGTGAACCCTCCAGGCGGCGTGCGGCAAAGTGAAGACTGTTCCCCCAAAGGTCAAACCGTTCAAACCAGAACTTGTGAGGGGAAGGTTGGAACTTCGATACTAGAGCACCATCCTACAAAGCGTTTCTTCTATCTTGGTATGGTAATAAGCAATTTGGTGTCGTTTTCCGCATCAATGGGTATCATTCTCCTCGTCATCACTGGCTTCCGATTCAGGTACTAGCTCCATTCATTAATCAAAACCGTTCTGATTGATATAATGTGTTTTTTTTTCTAGTAATCGAAATAATTATTGAGAACTGTTTACTTAGTGAACTAATATTATATCTACATGTAGGAACCGGTTAATAATGACGATCATGGTCATGTTTATGGTGGTGGCGGTTCTATGTATATCAGCAGCCTTCTTCTTTGCTGCGGCGTTGGTTCAACACGATGATGACTTCATCCAGAATATACTTCAGATTTATGTGGGATTTTGGGTTGTGCTTCCTGTTTTAATACTCCTTATCCAACTAGTGCGGTTTTTATGGTGGGTTATAAGGTTAATATGTTGTGGTTCGGGACTTCGACGACGGTCTACTCCACGGTTGCTGCCTTTGGCTCTGCCACCTGTCCCTTGAAGAAGAGGATGACTCATGGCTCGAACCGACGTGTTAAATGGAAATACTGATCAGCAATGTGATAAGTAGAATAAAGCTCTCCCATGTTGATCATTTTAAAAAGATTTTATTGTTTACGTCGTCCCTAGCTCTCAATGGGCCTAATGTAAGACTTTAAAATGTGTCCCTTATTTACTGAAAAAGATATTATACTAGAAACTATCTAAATAAATGTGAATTCCTTATAAAACATAACTTAGTTCTAAGAAAAAACTATAGATATAAACATTTTACTTGAAGATAGACAATATATATACGACATACTGGGTCAATGAAATATTGAAATCCACTACTAAAACATCATTTATTGCTATTTTATAAATATCTTATCATTATTTTATTTTTTGTTGATTTAAATTTATCTGATGAACAGAGCCAAGTTAGAAATGTATTAAAAATACATATAAATTATATAACCCAGTAAAAATTATGTAAATTAAATCTAAACAAATTATATGATAAAAGAAAAACAATCGAAAGAAATTTAGGTGGCCACTTTACGGGTTGTGGACTAAAGAGGTGGAAATTTTGTTCTCACATGACACATAAGGAAAGGGTCTTGCAAATACACACACTTTCTCACTGTATGATACTTAAACCTTACATGCATAATTAGATTAGGTTAAATAATAGCTACTTAATGACATAGGCAAATACAACCAAATATAGACGACATTTGTCTTCATTTTTTTTCAACTTAGTTAATAATTTATGATTTCTTAACTCATACGCGGCAAAAATAAACCTAAAAAAAATTCAAAATGCATTTAATGCAGAAATCAATCTACCTAAACTACCGAATCAGATGACGGACCAGGTAACGGATCGGCTTACGGAGCAGCTGACATACCACACCAAATGAAGCCAAATAAGAGAATCTTATTTTTTATACTTAAATGCGCCTCAAATATTTGTCGGGAGCCAAAGGAGATCAATCAGCAACAGTTTTTTCCTTCATTACATTCGCCTATTCTGGAACTTTAATTTATTCAGTGAATGATATAGATGCCCCAAAACACCACCTTTTCGCGCCCATACTTTCAAGACTGAACACTAACGGCTATTTATTTATTTTTCCCGATTTTACCATTCAATTTCTAACGGCTAGTTTCTCATTTGATTTTGCGGTTTGCTACTTGTTTAAGTTAGACCTTAGGGATCTTGTATTTCGAGCCTATGTAAAGTCAGTTCATTTCTTCATGTGAATTACCGTTGAATTTTCTATGTGATCATTACCTAAATACTTTCAAAACTCAACTAATAGTAACCACTGGAAGACTGTATAGTAATGATCATTATAATGGTATAGAGGTACACAACCAGATCTTTGATTTGGAACGCACAAAATCCAACGATTGTATACTTATTCTTATTAATAAATGATATCTTACAAGGATCTCCTTTTTCTCATCTTTTACACAATATATAAGAGATGTTGTGTTTTTATAGGTTTTGAGTCTTTTTTTTCTTTCCTAGATCATATATTTTATTGAGTCAAAGTGTGTTTTTAGAGTCTTTTAGTCCTTTATGGAATCTCTACAGGTTTTAGTTTGTTTCGGAAAAAAACAAGCTGTTTTGGCATGTAAACACATATTTGGATATGAATATTCGTTTAGAAGTGTCAGATGTTAATTTCCTCAGATGGAGGACTTCCCACCGTTAGATCTCTCTGAAGTTTTTACACAAGCTTGATAAAGGTATTAGATTTTACTTCCAAGTGATACGAAGGAAATCTAACGGTGCATTCAAGAGTTATACTCGATCTAGTGAAGACAGGTCATTCTGTCGAGCACTTGAAGAAGTTGCAGAGCTTGATACAAGAGGAGCCAGATCGATCGGTCCCTTTTTTGGATCGATCGATCCACTTCCCATGACGGAAAATAATCACTCCAAAGGCTTCTGGATCAATCGGTCCTTCTTGGGATCTGTCGGTCCCTTCCCAGATGCATATTTTGGCCCAAATTTGACCCGATTCACTCTAGATACGATCCGGCTCGTCTCCTACTATTTTAAAACCCTATGCTCAACATTTTACAGACATATTTGGTATTTTTTAGTTCTAAACATTGTTATTTGGTTTGTACGCAATTTTGAGTAAAGGAATCCATCCTCTTGACACTTGGAGAACATTTTTATACCTTTTCTCGTTAATTCTGCAATTTCATCATGTTTTCTTCATTGATTTTTGTTGTCTCTTTCTCTATGTGTAAGTAGTTCTCAATTGTGTTTTAGGGTTCCAAGTAGAAGATTCGATGAATTGGTAAATAGATTACAAAGGGAATTCTCCATCCATAGTTTCTTAGATTTACGTGTTCTTAATAGTAGAATAGAATTGATCACCCGTTTTTCGAACATAAGTTTTTATATGCATCAAAAGTGTTCGATAGAATGCATGAACGATTGTAAATCGACTAATGTGTTTCTAGCCAACTAGAGTTGACGTTGGAACGTATTATGAACCAAATGAACCAACTCGTTAACGAGAATTTTCATTAGAAAACTACAAATGAGAGTTTAGTAGTTGAGTAGTCAAATTAATTGATTAATACCTTGAGAGAGACTTAGTTTAGATTTGTGTCCATGTTTGAGAACGGTTCTTCATAACTGAATTCCTTGTTTCATTTATTCTGATAGTCATTTTCCATTGAAATACCCTATACCCCAATGTCTTTAATTCATAAGTTTAATCGTCAATTATTTTCATTTTTAGTTACAAATTTAGAAAACCAAACAGGCAACCTTCCGCTTTAGCTAAGAACAAGTCTTGGAAATCCTTAGCGTACCATTAGTTCTTGTGGATCGACCTCGTATATACTACCTTGCAGTTAATTGTATCGGATAATTACTCGAGCAAACAATATCACTCTCGATAGGTTTGTACAAGACAATGAACAAGTGTAAGCCTAATATTCCTTGTTTTATTCACCAACCCGTGAAACACAAAGAAAATCAGTAGTTCTCTATGTTATATTCATCCACCCTTGAAATACACAAAGAACTAAAACAAGACTCACCCTTATAAGCTTTATATCTTTTACTTTTAGCTTCGAAGTTACAAATCTCCCCGCTATAGTTCTAGAGTATTAACGACGGCTCATAATCATCGCCTCTATAGACCTATGTATACAACCAAAAATACCCTACTACTACTCCTAACGATCCTTTATATCTTTTAGCTAATCTCACCACTATATTTCTAGAGTGTTAACGACAGGTCATGATCATCGCCTCTATAGACTATGTATACAACCAAAAATACCATACTACTACTCCTAAGGATCCTCGCGAACCACCATGATAGGATAAGTCTCACTCCTCAAGTTTACACTTTTCATATCTTGATTCGTAGAATATTTCAAATATATCTCTATGATAAGTCAGTTTCTCGCTTCCTTGCCATGACACATCAACTTCTCAAGAATGACACATCATCTTTTAGCTTCCTTGCATTCTACAGATGCTTCATGTTGATTACAAATGTAAACTCCTGTTAAAATCAGCTCGTTGTTTTGCATCCGCTCGCTGTTTCCAAAAATGCATCTTCAATCATGAAATCAGTCTACAATCATTTATCATTTTTAAATTACGTTTGATACCAATTTCCATGTATATCATTAAATCACAGATGGTTTCCTTTAGAGTATCCTCGATTTAAATTTCTATTTTTTTTTCTTATATTGTTTCTCAATTTTTGTACATTTATAGTTATTTTTTTTTTGTCTTTTACTATTATTTTGTAGTGGGGGTATCAAATGAGGGTAAAAAATGACGTGTGAGATTTGATAAAATAGATAAACTTATTTGCCTTTTAATTTGGAAAAGTTCCCAAAAATACGCCAATTTGTTATACTTTGCAATAAAATAAAAATACATGAATTTTTTAAAGCATTTTTAAAAATGCGCTTTTTCATATGTTTTTTTCAAAAATAGTCTCTTCATATGACAAATCTTCAAAAATGCTTCTCACTACATCTAAAAATTTGATAAAGTTTTATAAGGTTTATAAAGTAATTCTAAACAAGAAACAGGCCAAACAGCCACTGTTATCACGTCACTAATCCACCAAATTGGTTGAATTAGCCATTGTTAGCCATCAAAATTTTCGGTCGGGTATCGATGGTAGCTAAATGAAATTCGGTCGCCGTTGGTTCCTTATCGTAGCTGATTAGCTACAGTCTCGCAACGTCACGTTTCAGTTGCTAAATAGTCAATGATTGGCAACAATTTATTCGGTGGAATTTAGCTACTCAATCAGCAACCGAATGATAAAAATAGACTGTTAAAGCTGTGTAAAAAAAAGTAATAAAAACACGATTCGATGAAAATAGACTGTTAAGGCTGTGTAATAAAGTCACAATCCCTACAGCGTGCCACCAATTAACCCCATAGTATCTAATGTAAACACTGATTGGCAACTATTTCTTTGGTAGCAATTAGCTACTAACCCAGCAACCAAATTATGGTTGCTAGGTGGCGGCAGTTTTAGTCACCAAAATAAATGGTGGCTGTTAAATCCTAGCCATTGGTGGCGACTAAATATTTGGCTATAACTGTAGCGATCCTAAACCGTTCTAGAAATCCAGACGGAACACGAATCGCCACGGTTTGATACTCGTAGACAATCTAACCGAGGCTGCTAGAACAAATCCAGCTACTTTAGTCGGTCCATCTGCGAGTATGTCCTCTCGACCACGGTGTAAGGCTTTGCAACCCGTACCGCGATCATGAGTTATGTTAGTTCGGACAGAACCTAATATCAAGAAGCACACAAGGCTTTAAGAAAACTCATTTTTATTAACTTCAAAATCTCAAAATACAAATAAACGTTTATGGCGCCAAGCGTGAAGCTCAAAACAAATAAACTACACTACAAATCCAACTTTACAAAGGCAATAAAATCTACACCGGGTTCCTATCGTCCATGCTTCCTCTAAAACTTTTCCCATTAAGGTTACCTACAATAAAATAGTGGCATCATGAGTACTAAATACTCAGTTAGTTCGGCGCCTTAACCCGAAAATTAAACCCTATGTCCCCAACATTTAATAGATAAACGAACAACAGGCAAAACCATTGACGAAATAATGGAAAACAATAAATCTACCATGCAACCTAACAAACAACAAATAACAACACAACAAATCCTATGGCCATTTGAACAATCCTTCCCATCGAACAAGTGAACA